GGGGGGAAGCAGAGGGGTCCAGCTCTCGCTGTCCCCACCGACACTGTTTGTCCTTGCAGAAGCACTGGCCCCCCGGCACGCAGTGTGTCACCAAGCATGACCACAGCAAGCCCAAGCCCCGGGAGCTGGCTTTCCGCAAGGGGGACATGGTCACCATCATCGAGGCCGTGGAGGTGAGACCTGCGGCTGCCCGGGGACGCTCTGCTCAGCTGCCAGAGCCAGTCCCTCCCTCCCCAGAGGGATCCGCCCTTCCTTGCCCTGCCCTGAGACCCTCTCGTCCGCAGGGCAAAGGCTGGTACCGCGCCCGGCACAACGAGACGGGCCAGGAGGGGCTGCTGGCGGCCAGCGCCCTGCGGGAGCGCGGGGCCATCCGCGCCGACCCCAAGCTCAGCCTGATGCCGTGAGTACAGCCGGGGTGACTGGGGGGGACCCCGCTGAGCCCCTGCGAGCTGCGGCAGCAGATGAATCCAGCGTGTTCCCCCATCCATGGTTTGGGGGCGCAGCTGGGGACAGAACATCCTGTGGCCATGCCCTGGCCATGGAGGGATTTGCTGGGGCCAGTACCTGGCTTAAAGGACCCCTAATTGTGCCAGCCCCGTGGAGGGGGGTTTCATGCAGTAGGGTCTGTGCAGCTTTGGCAGGGGCTCTGCTTTCCCCATCTCGCTGCTGCCCCTGGCTCAGCCCCCTCTCCAACGCCCCTGCCCTCAGCTGGTTCCACGGGAAGATCTCGGGGCTGGAGGCGGTGCAGGAGCTGCAGCCCCCCGAGGACGGGCTGTTCCTGGTGCGTGAGTCTGTGCGGCACCCCGGGGACTACGTGCTGTGCGTGAGCTTTGGCAAGGAGGTGATCCACTACCGCGTGGTGCACGAGGAGAACACGCTCAGCATCGACAGCCAGCAGTACTTCTCCAACCTCATTGACATGATTGAGGTGAGACCCCCGGGCAGAGGGTCCCACCAGTGCCAGAGCAGGGCAAGGACCTCATGGGCTCTCACAGAGGCAGGTCCTTGTCCTGTTCTGTGTGGTTTCACTGGTGTTTTACCTGGTGTAATTCTCCATCCCCTTCAAAGGCTCGTGGTTCCCACTCAGTTTGGAGTGCAGTGGGCAGATCTGGGATATCCCGAGGATGTCTCTGCAAACCAGCTGTGCCAGCTGCAGTCACAGTCCCCAGACAAAGGCCGCATTTTACCCCTATCCCTGCTTATTCAGTGCTTCACATAGCAGGAAGAGCCTGGTGGCCTCTGCCTCCCCTGGACTTGGAGGCGTTTTGCTGCGTCTCCTTCCCCTCAAAGCCCCTCTCACCTGCTGACCCCACAGGGCTCCCAGGCTGCTGTGTGAGCTGTTGCCCCTCCAGTGAGTTTTTCCTGGTGATCCTTCCCTCACCCTGTCTCCTCTCCAGGGAGTTGCACTCTTGTGTTTTCCTTTTAGACACAACTTTTGGGTGGCTCCTTTCCCTTCTTAGCTGCCTTGGCCCCACTTTAAAACTCTGAAGGTTGTCCTGTCCCATCCCATCCGGCCCCATCCTGTCTGGCTGCTTCCTCTCCCATCGCCTCTGCCAACTGCCCTCAGCTGCTGCAGCCCCTGCCAGGGGTTCAACCACACCAGTAGCACCCCACATCCCCTGTGGTCCATCGTGGTGTTCCTCTGGCTGTGCCCGGAGGGGAGCAAGGCTGAGACGTGGGCTGCCCTCAAGGGTGGTGATGGTGCAGTCTTGTGGAGCATCCCAAAGCTGTTCCCTGGACACCCCGACCCTGAGGGTAAGAGCTGGCATCACCTCCACCTGTTCATCCCTTGGCAGCATTACATGAAGGAGCAGGGAGCCATCTGCACCAAGCTGGTGAAGCCCAAAACAAAATCTGGGATGAAGTCAGCTGAGGAGGAGTTGGCCAAAGGTAGGGGATGGTGGGAGGGGGCTGTGGTCTGCATTTTAAGGCCCTACTGGTGGTCCCTGCTAACCTGCCCTTGTGCCCATGCCCAGCTGGCTGGTTGCTGAACCTGAAGCACCTCACACTGGGAGAGCGCATTGGGCAAGGCGAGTTTGGAGGTAGGTGAGAGGGTGGGGCTGGAGGTTGCCCAGATGGCACTGCCTGATCCCCTCCCCATCTCATGGCACGGGGGGCTCAGCCTGGAGAGCAGGGGGCCAGGTGTGGGGCTCAGCCTGACCCTCCCGTGCTCTCCCAGATGTCCTGCAGGGCGAGTACTTGGGGCAGAGGGTGGCTGTGAAGAACATCAAGTGTGATGTGACCGCCCAGGCCTTCCTCGCTGAAACAGCTGCCATGACGTGAGTGCTCCATGCAGGCGTGGCCCCACCCTGCCTGTGGCCTGGGATGAGCAGGCACCTCCTTGACTCAGATCCCCTCCATTCCAGGAAGGTCCGGCACAAAAACCTGGTGTGTTTGCTGGGAGTGATCCTGCACAATGGCCTCTACATTGTCATGGAGTTCATGAGCAAGGTGAGAGCACCTGGCTGCTCCTCAGCCAGCGGGACCCATCACCGCTTAAGATTTGGGAACAATATCCCTGCCTAGGGGCTGAGTCATCACAGATGCCAGGCACTGCAGCACCTGCAGAAGGCAAAGTCTCCTGGCAGCCCCATCCTGTTGGTCCTGACTCATTTTATCCTCCTCTGTCAGGGCAACCTGGTGAACTTCCTGCGCACGCGGGGCCGGGCGCTCGTCTCGACCCAGCAGCTCCTCCTGTTCTCTCTGTGAGTTCCCCTTCTCCTCCGCTGGGCTGGGACCCAGGGCCCTGCCTGTCCCTGTGCAGCCCCAGGGAGCCCTCAGTGACATGGCTCTGTCTCATTTCATTGTGGCAGGGATGTGGCTCAAGGCATGGACTACCTTGAGTCCAAGAAGTTGGTGCACCGGGACCTGGCTGCGCGCAACATCCTCATCTCCGAGGAGAACGTGGCCAAAGTGAGCGACTTCGGCTTGGCCCGGGTCAACCCCAAGGGTGCAGATGCCACATTGCTCCCTGTGAAGTGGACGGCACCAGAGGCCCTGAAACACAATGTGAGGGACAGTGACAGGGAGGGCTGGCCAGGGGGTCCTTCCAAAGCATCTCATGCCCTTGGGCTGCCCCTGCTTGTTCCCATTCCCACTGACCCATCCCTGCCCCACGGTGGCCTCTGGCACAGCCAGCCCTGCATCTCCCAAAATTCTGCCTCTGTCCTGAGCAGTGCAGTGGGGATTGGGGCAGGATGATGGGACTGGGGGTGTTCACACCCTGGGGAGCCGAGGGGGGCAGGGGGCAGTCACTGTCCTCTGTCTTGCCCTCGGGAAGCAACGGGGACCCAGCGCAGCCCTCAACTGGCTTCAGCCTCCCCTCTCCTGCCACCACAGAAATTCTCCTCCAAGTCGGATGTGTGGAGCTACGGGATCCTCCTGTGGGAAACCTTTTCCTTTGGACGGGCACCCTACCCCAAGCTGGTGAGCACTGTGCCAGGGACCACCACAGGTTACACCCCACTGGCACTGACGGGACAGGGACATCCCACTGCTCCCTGAGCAGAGCAGGGAAGGGGGTTGCCAGCTGGTTCTCCATCCTGGCAGGCACTGAAGGAGGTGACGGAGCTGCTGGAGCAGGGGTACCGCATGGACGCCCCCGAGGGCTGCCCGCCCACCGTCTATGCCCTGATGAAGAGCTGCTGGGAGCTGGAGCCAGGCAAGCGCCCGTCCTTTAAGAAACTCACAGAGAAGCTGCAGAAGGAGCTGAAGCACCTGAGGGACATTTAACCCCCATCCTGCTACCAGGACACAGGACCTGAAGCCCCTAGACCCTCCAGGGCTGGGAGTGGCAGGGCAAGAGGGTCCCGGAACAGGGAGGCCTGTGGTGCTGCTCTCTCCCTGTGGAGATGGGGCAGCAGCCTCCCTCCATCCCGGCATGGTCCTTCTTCCCACCACACAGCCCAGAGAAGGTTGCCATGGAATTGATCTGCCCTGGCCCACGACAGTGGGGAGCACAGACCCCAAGGCAGCCAAGCCCACAGCCCTGTGTTCAGCCCCAGGAGCAGATGCTGTGTGTGGGGTCCCTTCAAGCTGCGACTCCCAGTGCTGGGAGACAGGACTGGACATCTCCACTCACTGGGGGATGAGACCCCACCCTGACTCAGCCCTGCCCCAGCGCCCAGCCCCACACGGGGATGCTGGCACAGCCAGCTAAACCACATGGATTTGGGCTTTTTGATTAAACCAAAGAATCTAGTTCAACAGCATCTTTAAGCCTCTGGAGTGAAATTAGGCCTATCTCTCACTTGGGGCCTGACAAAGCCCAGTGAAAGGCTTTGGGGGGGCCAGGAGCTCTGGCCCTTGGAACCCCCCACGCCATGCAGCCCCTCTCCCCCTGGGGCTCTGTGCAGCAGGGGATTATGCTTTAATCAGAGCCTGTATGGGAATTGCTTTCCTATAGATTACAGGCACGGGGCACATCCCCAGGCACGGGGAGCCCCCGGCCCCGCAGGCTGCCGAGCAATCTCGGTCTCAGTGGAGCAGGGATTAGCGGGGGCACAGGGTGGGTGTGCCCCGCCACCGCCTCATCTGCTGCCACTCCTCTGACCCTCGGCTGGGTTTTTTCGGCTAATCCTCTTGTGTCTCCTCCGTGCTGACTTCCTGCACCCCCAATCCCCCTGAGTGCATGGTTCTGGGTGCCCACGGCATGGGGCTCTCCCCAGGGCCTGCCATGGCCCCATGGGTGCTGACCCAATTTTGGACCCATGTATTGGGGGTATTTCAGCCTGACCCGGTGTGTGCTGCAGTTCAGTGACTCCTTCCACCTCCCTATCACTCTGATGAGGCAGCACCTGCTGTCACCCGCACTGCCACTGTCCCCTGCAAGCACCCTTGGGTGCAGCAAAGGGAAGGTCCTTCCACCCTGGCTGTGCCTTCCCCTCCTAATGCCTTAATCCCCCCCTGATCCGCGGTGCCCCTGGGGCTGGGCCCACTGACCTTGCGGGCACTGGGACCCAGTGGGCACCTCGGGGCAGGAGCTGCCACCGCCACCCACCATGGCCTCCTTCTTCACGGCCACCCTGAAGAGCTTCCAGGGGGGCAAGGACGAGTCCGCCAAGGGGGCCCCCAAGGATGAGAAGGCGGCAGCGCTGCCCAGCACCATGGGCCACGAGGAGTTTGAGGAGTACCAGCGGCAGCTGCTGGAGGAGAAGTAAGGCTTTGCCGGGGCTGAGCGGGTCACGAGGGTCCCCCAACACTCCAGAATCAGGATCTGATTCTGTGGGTTTTCCCCAGAGTGGCACAGGACAGGGACAGGGAGGCAGCTGGGGCGAGAGACAGTGCAGAGCAGGTGCCCTCAGCGTGTGTCCCCCACAGCATGGGGGGTCCATGGAGGTGCTGGCACAGGGCTGTGACAGCACCTTTGTGCACCACATGTGACAAGGGGAACCCCCAGGTGTCAGAGCCCCGGGATGGTTCCAGTCCAGCACCCTTGGAGCCCAGGGATGGGGGTCAGCTTGGGATTGGATTCAGGTCCCACCTCCCTAGGACTGGGTGCTGTGGGAAGCCAGCAGCTCAGCACCAGGGAGATGAGAGGCTGCAGGAGGAGTGAGTCCCTGCAATGGGCGCCTTCATCAACCACCTCTGAATCTGGGTGCTGAGCTGCGTGGACAGGATGTGACTCCTGCTCCCAGATCCCCACTTTAACCCTCTTGTGGGTCTCAGACCTTCTCCCTCCTGCCCCAGACCTGCTCTGCAAGAGGAGCAGGGTGACCGGGGTGGGGGTGGCCCTGGGGGGCTCAGTGAGGAGGGGGTGATGGTGTGGCACCTGCTGCAGGATCGAGCGGGACAAGGCGTTTGCACAGAGGAAGGCAGAACGGGCCACGGTGCGGATGCACCTGCGGGACAAGTACCACCTGACCCAGGTAAGAACCAGCCTGTCTGCGGGCCCGGGGCTTCCCCTTGACCCTACATCGCCCGAAACAGCCCCAGGCCCCGCGGCTGCCGAGCTCCCCTGGGCCGGAGGCATTCCTGAAGGGGGCAGCAGACGGCCACTGTCTCTGTCTATCTGCCGCCCACTGTCCACCCAGCGTCCGAGTGTGGCACTGGGCAGTCCTGCAATCCTGCCCTGTCCCCAGCCCCCTGGGACTGGCCGTTCTCTGTCCCCTTTCCCCGCTCCGCCGGGGGGGGCCCGCGTCTGTCCCCACCCGACGGCCTCTCCCACCCGCGTCCAGGACGAGCGGGACGACGCCCAGGTGCACGTGGCCGGAGGGGCGGTGGAGCTGCCGCCGGAGCTGGCAGCCATGGTGCACAGCGAGGAGGAGGAGGAGGATGGCAGCGCCGGGGCGTTCGCCTTCCTGGCGAAGCTGCGGCAGGTGGAGCTGCCGGCGCTGCGGGAGCGCGCCCTGGGCGGCGTGGAGCAGGTGCGGGAGAGGTGCGCCCTGATGTAGCAGCGCTGCAGGAGCCATCGGCAGCCCCTGTGCCCGGGAGCCGCGGTATGCCGAGCTCTGGGTGCCTTCACTTGGGGTACGGGTCCCAATACCCATGTTAGGTGTGGGTTTTCTTCCCCAGAGCCATTCGCAGTTGCTTTCCCAGGGTGTGCAGGGGTGCAGAATGCCTGGGTGTGGTCAGGTCCCTCTCGTGGTGCTCCTGGTGTGAGCCCCCACATGGGGTAGGTCCCTGACACCGTGACCCCCCTGACCAGCCCTGGCACCGTGCACCGTTTGGCTCAATAAATACAGCATTGCCGGCACCGTTCCTGTCCTGCCACGTCCCGCACCCACACAGTCCCTGTCCTGGTGGGTGAGGGGACACGATGACAGCGCTGGAGCCGGGCTGCCCCATGTCCTCTGAGCCACCAACCAGCCCGGGACGCTTGGCCACTGGGTCCTGCCCCCCTTCTGCAGCAGCCCTCACAGGGACCCCGTGATCCCCCTGGCCGCCCCTTGGAGACGGCCCCGGAGCGGGTGTGGAGCATTTACTCCGTGCTGGAGCATCCCCAGCGCGGGCAGCGAGAGCATCCCCTCGGCTGGGCCGGGGTGCCCGGCTGCTCCTGCCCCGCCGGGCTCTGTCCTGGGCGCTCGGCAGCAGCGCTGGCTTAAATGCGGCCGCGCCGGAAGGCCGGGGGCTGCTGAGATCACTAATACCTGCCTATTTTAGCGAGCTCTAATCTTCCTGAGTCGCCTGTCCCCGAGGACTAAGCTCGCTGAACCCGTGTAAAATGTTGGGCCAGCGCTGGCCCCAGCGGCACCTCCCGCCGGAGCCGGAGCCGCCGGGAATCACGCTGTGTGTGCATGAAAGGAAGGACGCGCTGAGCCGCCTCCATCCTCCCCACGCCGCTGCCATCTGCTCCGGAAAGGCTGCGGGGCCGGCCCTGCCCGGGCTGCCCACGGCCGGATCCGGCGCAGGTGGGCCCGGAGCTGCCCCCGAGCCCAGCGCTGCTGGCAGAGCCAGGGCTCAGGAGCGGGAGCTCACGGAGCGGGGAGCACACCCTGCACACACGGGGTGCCCATTCCCCCGGAACCCCTCCCGGTGCCAGCCCAGGGGCTGCCGGAGCATCCCGGGGAGCGTGAGACAGGCTGCGCCTGGCACCGGGGAGCCTCGGGATGTTCGGTGGCCCCGCTGTCCCTGCTGACTTCATCATCCCTGCTGTCTCTGCCATCATCCTCATCCCCGGTCACCAGCTTTTCTTCAGAACTCAGGAAATCTCCCTTGAGGCGCAAACCCCACCTGTGGGATGGGACCGTCTGTGCCACGGCAGTCCCTGGCCAGGATCCTGGCAGGCCGGCAGCAGCTGTGGCACCCGGCACAACGCTGATCCCACCCCACATCGCCACCAAGTGCCAGCTGCTGGGATGGTGGCACTGAGGTCCCCAACGAGCTCTGCCAGCACCACCTCAGTCCTCCATCCCCGTTCCACACCAGGGTCCCATCCTGCTCTGCCGGGCAGCCCTCTCCCAGTGCTCCCAGTGGGGCTGCATGGGGACTCCCAGCGCCAGCTGGGATTCGGGTCAGGACCCTCCGCCAGGTCTCCTTGGCTAATCGTCCTCCCCCCGCCCTCCCCATGCTGCCACCTGCCTCCCGCTCAGCACCCTTTTGGGTCACCCCTGCTGCCTCCCCGCCTGCCAAAGGCCTCTTAATGAACTAAAAAAGTGATAAATCCCCGGCCGAGCTGGTCACGTGAGGCCGGTGGCCCCCGGCCGCCCCCCGGGCCGACCCCCGCCCCCGGCCCCACCGCCCCGGTAAGCTGACGCAGCGTCTCTAAGCGTTAGCAGCTTTGCGCGCTAATAGGATTAGGGAGGTTTAAAACTGTCATTTGAGTGAACTAAACCCCCTGATACTCTGCATTGCACCTTCTTAACCAATTTGCCTTCAATTAGGGTAATTGGGAAACTAGCAAAGAAGTATAGCATTAATATTTTAAAGTGATGAAGCGATTACGGGCCTTGGACAAGGAAGCAAATCAATTTGCTATCTGTTCCTAAAAGGCAATTATAATCATTTGGCAAATCAGCCTGCTGCCTCCCCCCGGGCGAGGCAACACCTTGTGTGTGCCGGCAGGGCACACAGAGCGCCGGGCCGGGCGGCTGGGCAGCCCCCGCACCCAAACCGGGCACCCTGGGCAGCCCCTGACCCCAAACCGGGACCCTGGGCAGCCCCCGACCCCAAACCCGGCACCCTGGGCAGCCCCTGACCCCAAACCGGGACCCTGGGCAGCCCCCGACCCCAAACCCGGCACCCTGGGCAGCCCCCGACCCCAAACTGGGACCCTGGGCAGCCCCCGACCCCAAACCCGGCACCCTGGGCACCTCCCTGCACCCAATCCGGGACCCTGGGCACCTCCTCGCACCCCCGGGCCAGGGGGGCACCCGGGAACCTGCTGGGGGCCACCAGTGTGGGGCACACGCTCCTGCACTCGGCACAGTGGCCAGCATGGGCATCGGGAGAGTTTGCACTCCAGTTTGCACTCCAGCCCAAAACATCACCCCTGCCCCACCCATCACCCCTGCCCCACACATGGCCCTGCCCCACACATGCCCCTGCCCCACACATGCCCCTGCCCCACACATGGCCCTGCCCCACACATGCCCCTGCCCCACCCATGGCCCCTGCCCCACACATGGCCCTGCCCCACACATGGCCCTGCCCCACTCATCACCCCTGCCCCACACATGCCCCTGCCCCACTCATCACCCCTGCCCCACACATGCCCCTGCCCCACACATGGCCCTGCCCCACACATGGCCCTGCCCGGGGGTGTCCCCACAGCTCCCTCTGTCCCCTGCCCTCCTGCAGCGCTGCTGGCCCTGCGGTGTCCCCTCACCCCCGGGGGCTGCAGGGCCTGCCTGTGCAGGTTGTGCCATCCCTGGGGTGTGGCCTTGCCGTGCCCAGGGCAGTGCCAGCCTGTCCCTGCGGTGGTGGCACACTGTCCCCAGGGTAGTGGCGTGCTGTCCTCAACACAACATCACCTGTCCCCAAAGAGCTGTGAGACAGGGCAGGCAAAGCCTCACAACCCCAGTGGGGGACAATGGGGTGGCCTCGGGGCCCACACCAGGACACAGAGGGGCTGTAGGGTCTCGCCAGGAGCAGCTCTGGTGGGGAGGGCACAGACCCGGGGCCAGCAGCACCTGGCACAGTCCAAAACCCCCACAGTGACATTTGCCATGCGAAAGGGGAAGTGTGGCGAGGAGGAAGGGAGTGGGAGGAAGCTGAGACAGGCCCGGGGGTGGCGGCGGCTGCAGGTGGCAGGAAGATGGTTTTGGGAGAAAGTAAAAGTGAGCAAAGAAAGAAAAGGGCAAAATGCACCCCACATGATGGGGCTGTGGGCAGCACCAAGCACATCCCCCTGCAGAGCCCAGGACTCCCACCATGATGTTTCCATCGTTCCTTGGGGCCCAGGGGCAGCAGTGGGAGTGCGGAGGAGAAGAATGGTGGCCCTGCCCCTCAGCCTGGCCTTTGTCCCACGCCCCCTTAGGCCAGGGCCCATGGGGCACCCCCAGGGATTGTCCCCTTGGCTGGATCCCACAGCTGGTCCCCACAGGGTGTTCCCATGCCTGGGCCCAGTGCTCAGTCCCATGTCCATGAATCATCCCAGGCCTGGTCCCATGGGCACTGCCCCATGGCTGCTCCCCACACTCCTGCCTGGTCCCCTGCTCTGGTCCCCGTGAGTGTTCCCTGCCTGATCCTCATACCAGGTCCCCAAGGCTGTTCAGGGGCCTGGTCTCTATGGCTGGTCCCTACACCTGGGCCCGCAGCCAGACCCCAGAGCAGCTCCCCAGGCCGTGTCCGCACCCTGGGGCCTCACGCTGGACCCCGTGCCTGGTCCCCATCCCTGTCCCCACACCTGTCCCCGTCTCTGCTCCCCACACGGGCAGGGCTCTGCAGGCAGCGTCATGGGAGCCACAGGGCCACCCACGCTGTCACAGGGCCACCCCCAGCTCGCCATCCCTGTCCAGGGGGCACAACACCCATCTCTGCAGCATCCCCATGCCACCGAGGCTTGGGGCATCCACCCCGGACCCCATCCCTGGGGCAGAGGCTCCGCAGCCCAAGGAAATCCTGCCCCCTCCCCCTCCATCCTTTCTTCTCCGCTCCCCCTGTTTCTAATTCTTTCTCCTCGCCCGTAATGAGGGGATTACACGGCAAACTCCAGCAGGACGCCTTTGTGGGGAGACAATCCGAGTGGGGAAGGCAGTTCGGGGCTTTGTCCGCCACTGCCCCCCCGGACCCGTGCTGGGGGGACATTTAGAGCAATTACTTGTCCAGAAAGTAACTGTCAATCATTCTTAAAGGGGAAGGCCTCCAATTAATAACCTCGTCTTAATCCTTTGGACTCATTTCCAATCTGCGGTGCCTTGGTGACATCTGCAACACTAAATAAAGATTCTCCCGAGCCTTAGCACAGCGGTTCTGTGACAAATAAGAAGACTAGAGGCAACTTTGGCTGCCAAAGCTGCGAGATTGGTGAGGTTGAGCCGCTTGTTTGGTTCCCGGGAGGGACCAGCAAAGTTAAATACTCCTGGAAAAGCCGAGTTGGGCCCAGCAGGTAACGCCGTTTTTTTCCAATTCGGGACAAAGCGCCGAGGGAAGATGCTGAGAAAGGGAGTGGGTGTCCCCAGGGTGTGCCTGGGGTTGGTGTTGGGGACGGGGCTGGCACCATTCCCTGGGGGCTCAGGAGCGGATGGGGCACCCGCCAGTGTCACTCGCCCCGAGTCACACAGGGCCAGGGCCAGGAGCCACCCGGGCTCCACCACCCATCCCTGGCGGCTCCAGCCCAGGGAGCCAAATCCTGGCACCCAGGTGGGCTCCCAAAGGCACAGAATGGGGTCCCAGGGGAAGGTGGGGCTGTCCCTGGACTGTCTCTTCCACATCCCCTGCTGACAGGGGAGCCCACCTGTCCTCAGCGATGCTTTGCAGTGCTCAGGAAGTGAGGGGTTTTAAAGTGAGGGGT